GCCCGTGGGGTTTATTACCACAATTCCTGCTTCGGTGCCTACTCGGCTTGCCGCCCTTTCGACGTAACTTGCCACCACTTTTCACCCTCTTCTCCTCCGTCCACAACCCCCTCCGCCATGAAATCCGCTAATACATGCGCTTTAATAGCTGGTCAGGGGGTATAACAGATGTCGTATTCACTCAGTTGAATCGCCCACTTTACCATTCTCCATGCTACGTCCATCGATCCCAAGGTCCTTTTCAGCAGAAAATTGGTGAGCACCACAATCAAATGCGCCACGACGACCGCCAAGGCCTTTTCGATGGGAGCATAACGTGACTCTAGACTAGTCATTACCTTGCTTACGTAATAGACCGGAATCTCTTCCCCTTCCTCCTCCTTCGATACGAGCACTCCACTTATGCCCGTCTGCGAAACCGCTATGTAAATGTAGAGTACCTCGCCCGCTTTTGGGGTTGTCATCACGGTGGGCGCCGTTAGCAGGTCTTTCAGTTGCCCAAACGCCTTGTCGCATTCTTCTGTCCACTTGAATCGCAAGGCCCTTTCTAAGGTTGACCGGCTGATTAGCATTTTTCGTTGACTACCACATCAGAATATCTCTTCCACGTCAGCATAACATCCGCCAACTCACCATCATCTAACGAAAGTGTTAACGGAGATTTAGCGGTTGACTATTATTTTGTATTTCGATAGTTGTGGCTATTATTTTCCCATCTTTAATAGTTCTATCTAATATATTGTATTTACCCTAAAAATAAACCTATGTCACCCTTATATAAAAAAATCATAACACATTATTTGAAGGGTTAATTTATTTTTTGCCGAAAATATAATAAAATGAATATCATTGTGTAAATCATAATTAATACAATCTTTCTATGCAATATTTTTTTAATTTTTAGTTAAAACAAAAGAGATATGATATAATATCAACTATCGTATCATGATATTATATACATTGAGAAATTACAACAAACTCATATTACTACTTTTTACTTATAATATTTAAAAACAAATATATATATTTTAGTATTTAATCATTACATTCTTTCTATAATTTTTTTTTATTTCAAGTTAAAACGAAGAAAATTGACCCTATTACAAAGTGAGAACTAAACATGCTGACTCTAACTGGTCAATTTTTTTCTTTCACTTCTAGAAATTAGAATTCCTGACAACAGAAAGAAAGATAGAGGTGTCGAAGATTATCCTGTCTCCTCTCCTTGTCCCATATAAATTTTGGACCGCTAAGATGTAAAATAATGGACTTTGCAGTGTCACTTTCTTCTGGATATTCCATCACATCTCCGCCTCCCTTCACACGTCATTATAGTTTACTTGTCAATCCTATCTTGCTTTTTCGTTTAATTAATATTTTATTACTTAATTTTTAATGTTACTCATCCTTCTCGAAGCAACAGTTATATTTCGCATTAGGATTAACATTATAAAACTAAATACCCGTCACTTATCTTATTATCACGAATACAAAAACTAGACTTTAGAAATTCGTAAAATAATCTTCAATAAATATCATTACAATTTACAAGTGCACTTACACTGTAAATTTCAGTGTTAAATTTTTATCAAGCATGTAATTGCATTGTACAATTTTTTTATGATTTCATAATTAACTTTTTTTGCACTAATTATAATATAATTCTTATGGATTGCAAGTGACCTGACACTATTGTTTGGAGATGGATATAGAGAGAGAGAGTGAGAGTTGAGAATGCTGACAAAGAAATGAAGGACACCAATAATTAATAACCCCTAAAACTACCAAAATACTATTTACAATAGCTTAGTTTGGCCCTGCTGTAGCTTTTGCAGAAGCAGCTTCTGGCTGGAGCTTTTAGATAAGTACTTTTCAAAAAAAGCAGTTTAGTGTTTGGCTGTAAAACTATTAGAAGTGCTTTTTAATATGAGCGGTTGTGTAAAATGACTATAAAGGACTTATAATATAAAATATAAATAAAAATTCGAAACAATAAAAAGTAGTCAAAATGGATCTTGTTAGATTTCTTTTATATTAAATAATATGATTTTATAATTTATTTTATTTTTAAAATGATATAAATGAAGGAAAATTATATTTTCTGAAATAAAATTAAAATATGGTAAGGATAATCTTGTATTTTCAAAACAGCTTTTCGCAGAAGCTCCAAATCGGAGCTTCTGCTTTTATGTTATACAAAAGCGCTTTTCGGCTTTTCAAAAGCCGAGCTTTTAGAGGTGTTTGGCCCTGCTTAAGCTTTTGAAGCCGAAAAGCACTTCTAAAAGCCGGGCCAAACATAGGCAATAACGACTTACCGCTCTGAAAAGAGTTATGATGGTAATTTATTTCGCTTTCTTTTTTAAATAAAATATTTTTAAAATTTCAATGATCCAGATATTGTTTATGTTTGATTTATTCCATACTGTCTTGAGGTATGTCATGTCGATTTTTCAAGAAGTTACTCTTCGCTATTCTGAAGTGAATATATTTAATTTCAGAATTTTTACAAGAACTTTTCAATTTCAACGGAACAAAATTTAATATTGATTATAAATCATATATTTTCCGAATTTTATCGATATGGAATTCGACTAAACAAAAAATACAAAAAAAAAAGAAAGTCTTGAATTTAATTTACGCGGATATCCTCGCTCTCCATTTCCTTAATCGAAGACGTATTTGGCGATGACCTAAAAAAACAAAAGAGATGTATTTGGCGATAAGTACCTACCTCCCAACCTGCCGACCAGCTATCTATCTATAAATGGATCACCTTCTTCGCCTCTTTCATCCTCGTCAACCAACACGCAAACACTCACAACAATCATAGCTCCAAAAACCAAATCAGCAGTTCAATAAGAAGAATATCAAATAACAAAATGAGCCACGCAATCGACGTCTCCGCCGGACCCCTGCTCGACGCCGGCCGCTTCCGCTCGGCGGTACCACCCTCCTTGAGCCACCCTACTCGCAATTCCGGCCAAATTAGCTTCAGTTCAAATATCGCGCTCCAATCTCCCCGTTCTAGCAGGTCCGTCAGACCCGTTCAAACAGCAGCCGCCGCGGCCGCCGCCGGGAGCAGTCTCTGCGTCAGCACGGAGAGCTTCTACGACTTGCTGGGGATTCCAGTTAGCGGAACGCTGCCGGAGATCAAGCAAGCGTACCGGCAGCTCGCTCGGAAGTACCATCCGGACGTTTCCCCGCCGGAGAAAGCAGAGGAGTACACGAGACGATTTCTTGAGGTCCAGGAGGCCTACGAGACGTTGTCGGATCCCGAGAGCCGAGCTCAGTATGACAGAGAGTTGGCCTCTGGATTCCACTTGGCCTTCTCTGCTCGAAAGCAATTCCACAAGGTAAATTCTGAAGCTATTGTTTCGTGTGTGTGTGTATATATATATATATATATATATATATATATATATATATATATATATATATATATATATATTGGCCACACCACACGGGATGAAAGGGAGACTGAATTTGTGGTTAATTGATTAAAACAGGGGATGGATCCGCAAGGCGAGTGGAAACAGAGGTGGGAGACTCAAATGGACGAGTTGCAGAGCATGCGCCAGAGGAAACAGAGATACAGCTACTCCTGGGGAGATAGAATGCGGAGTCAAAGATCATGCCAATTCAGTTTCAATTAGTGTTTCTGGTTTAGAATAGAGATGACTTGTACATATTTCTTCTTTACTCCGGTGGATTTACGAAGCAGAGGAAATCTGGTGATTTTGGATCGATTTGGAATGTATATCATAAGAATTAGAGAGATGTAATTATGGTGGAAATCAAAATAAATAAAATTTTGAACTTCTTCAGGGAAATTTTTGAGTTATCGAAGGTAACTCCGAGGGGTTTTCTTGGCCTGATTCTTCCGGCAACAGCCTTCATGCTCTGTCTTCAACCTTTCCCGCTAGGGCAGTCCATCTACAAAATTAAATATATAATGCAGAATCATGGGTTCAATTTGTTGGCCGACTTAACCGGACCACAAGCCCATCCAGCCCACTTCAGTAACTTCAGCCCAAATCTGTTCGGAGTGCGCAATCTACCTGCTATGTTGTACTTTGCCTCGCTGACGCTGTCTCTCTAGCTCTGTTGCAGATATTAAAAATTTAGTCGTCAAGTAATTAATTCTCTGTCCTATTTGTCCTACAAGTCTCTCGTTTTCTTGTCCTTATAAAAGAAGGAAAATTGGTCGTTATTAGAGTTTTAACCCTATGTCTATTTCTATATAAGCTTAGCTACGAGATTGTCGTAAGCAAGCTGTCACAAATCACAATGTAGTCCTCTAATAAAATCGTCAGTTGTGAGCTCTTTCGAGCTTACCGTGGATTAGTCTCGTTCAATCAAGAATGAGAATACCACGTACAATCCTGTGTCTTGTATTCATTTATTTCCACATCATTAAATTCTACATGGTATTAGAGCGAAACTCGATCTTTGTCTAGGGTTTTGAGCTTCCGCAATCATCCTTCGTTGCCTCTCCGAACAAAGTCGCAACTCGATCACGAGTCCACGATTGAGGAGGTAACTCAATCGATACTGAGCTCGCTCATCATTGGAAATCAATCCATGTAACAAGGACAATTCACGAGCATAAACACTCAATGAACAAAGGTTCTTTGATTAACAACGTCTAAGTACTACAATGGAGTTTCTAGCCTTAAATAGACAAACTTAAACCTAATTCAACCACCCCTATAAGCGAACAATTGATCAGGAAACCGAATTCTCGGTTTAGTAAGTTCAGTCAACAGAACCAGTCCAACACGGCAAAATCGATGCATTAGCGCGATCGATCCCCAAACAGGGATTGTAACTAAGCAATTACAGAAGAAAGATTTCCTTTTTCTCTAATTTATAATCCCAAGGAGAGCCAGGGAAAACTCCCGTTTTTCCCCCTACCACCCTTTGTCTCAGTAATGAAGAAAGGACATACCCTTTTGCTTAAAAAAAGAAAGAAAGAAAGAAAGGAAGGAAGGAAGGACATACCCAGGATGAAAGGATAGGCCCAGGGAGAGCGACCCAGAAAAAGCCTGGTCGACGGAGGATCCTTCCTCTGACAAAATATACCATGAAAAAAGAATGACAAACAAGAATCAAAACTAAATGATCAGGAAATGTGAAAGAAGAAGCACGGAGAAGACGAGATGGTACCAGAAAGAGTGGAAACATAAGGAGGAGGTGGATCGCCGCCCATCTTAGCCACCGGCGAAGTTAATTCAGCTGAGAGAGTGTAGCGGAAGTGGGGAACAGAGTCCTGGAGGCTCAGCAAACAAGATTTGGTGTTCTAAGATTTACCAAGTGTGATGAGCTTGTTGGCTTTTCGCTCAAAGTAAAATGGTAAATCCCAAGTTTGGTCACTGAGTTTAGGGATGATAACGGGTTGGGTTGGTTCGGGTCGAGGACGGATAGTGCATATCCGTTATCCTATTCAAAATAGTTCGAGTTTTACTCATATCCATATCCACATAAGAAACGGGTAAAAAATCCAAACTGTGCCGATACTCATTTAGATTTCAGGTATCCACGATTATCCATGGGTAACTCCAACCAATATGTTGACATTCACGAGAATTCTCACGTTACGTAAGAAGAAAAGTACGACAATAATTCAATAGAATGAAGAATATTAAATAAAATAACACATTTTCATAAAAATATTATATTTTTATGCTAAATATAAAATATGTTAGTGAAAAATATTAATTATTTATAGACAAAAATCAAAATACATATGCATGTGTATAATCGGGCGGGTTCGGGTTGGATAGTGAGAAAACCATGCCCACCTGTTACCTGCAATATTCGAATTCGGTTTTACCCGTACCCACTAAAAGTTCTTCGGGTTCGGGTTTTATCTTACCCAATTAGGTCGGATTCAGGCGGATATTCACGGTTATGGATATGTTTGCCATCCCTAACTGGGTTCATCAAAACGTGTCATGTTTAGTTACTGAAAAAAGTTACTATCAATTTTGGTCACTCGAATTAGTAAAATGGTCTGTGTTTAGTCACTCTCCGTTAACTTTATCTCATGTGGCAGTCAACACTAATAATTGAACGTTAAATGTTTAACGTTGCAATTATAAAATTAGTAAAATAAATAAATTTAATTCTTTTATCATTTAATTTGACGAATTGGAGATTGAGAGACGGCTAATACTAGTGTTTTTTTTTTGTGTTATGAAAATAACAAAAGATTAGGTGAGAGACGAGAGTGACTTAAATTGAAAACTCAAATTTGGGTTGGATGAGGACTTCTAAGTTGTGAAATAGTGATGAAATGATCTATATATAATTAAATGACACTCTTGGTGGTTGAGGGTCGTGTAGTAGTGAATGAGAGAGTCTTAATTGAGAGGATAAAAAATACTCACTAGCTTGTATGTCGGTAGTGATCGATGTTTCGGTATATATCGATCACAATCCTGTAATCCCTAATACCGAATAACAATTGAAATTCAATATCAATCTCAATCCCAAAAAATTATATATGTATTCGGTAATACCAAATATAGACAAATTCAATACGGTATATTCCAAATACCGGTAGCAAACTTCTAGCCCTAGTAGCAACGGGTTACAGGGATCAAGATTTTTTTGGGGAATGATTTTTTTTTTTTTTACTGGGGAATGATTTTTCTGGAGACAGGTCGGATGACAAAGGGATTTTTGTTTTATTTAGGGTTATAGGTATATTTTGCCCCTTTATTATGCATTTTTCTCAAACATGCCCTTCTACTATGAATTACATCAAATATGTCTTTTTACTAATGAACGATTTTCAAACTTACCCTTCCATTAAATTTTCCATCCCAAAACCGTTATATCTGGTTGAACCACGTCCTGAGCAATGTTAAAGTCATTTTTACCCTCCTCTGTTTTTAACCCGTGTCAATTGTCATCCTTTCTCCGTCGTTCAAATAATGTCGAACAAAATTCCCTCCACCACGACTATAATTCTCGGATGCCTTCAACTGCCCTCGGTCGGTTGATTCCTGCGCGGATACCACCTCGCCATCTTGACGGCGGCTGCTACATGTCATTTGAAATTCCTTTTCACCTTTGAAATTTTCGGATCCTAATGCTTCTGGCAAACCCTAAATTACTTTCCCAAATCTGGTGTAGTTCAGCAGTGGTGCTATGGCGATGGAGATTGGAGAGGAAGCATACTGTAAATCCCTTATTCAGCCGGGTATTAAGCACACACAGCAAGCAAAAAGGTTTTATTTTTGGAATTGGTACTCTAAAAGGCAACACATAGAATGAGCAGAGATGGGTCCTAATTTGGGGAAAAAATTGGTCACTCAATAGAAACTGGAAAGCGAGCAAAGAGGGTTAAGGAGATGATGAGAAATGTTCGACGTGAAGGTTCGCCATGTCCTTGGTTTGGATTTCAGATCTCGATAAACGCGTTGATGGAGATGAAGAGAAATTGCACCGTTGAAATCTCCTGCTGTGCCGTTTACAGAAATTGAAGTCGTTGCGTCGTCAACTCTTCAAAGCTCCAGCCGACAAAGAACCTCCGCCGCGTTAGTTACTGTCCTTGACACTCCACCAATCAGATAAACTACCGCCACCTCCGTGGGTCACCTGTAGGAAGAGGAGAAGAAAGGGTCGGCGGGGGTGTAGACGTTGACGGAAGGAAGGGGTGGATTGATTTTGGAGCTTTTTTGTGCTGAACTTGTACAAGGGTAAAAAAGTCATTAACACTACTCAGGGTGTGGTTCAACCAGATATAATGGTTTTGGGATGGAAAATTTAACGGAAGGGTAACTTTGAAAATTGTTCAATAGTAGAAGGGCATATTTGATGTAATTCATAGTAGAAGGCATGTTTGAGAAAAATGCATAATAGAGGGGCAAAATATACCTATAACCCTTTTATTTATTTAGTTTATTATTTTAATCATGTGGAAATAATAAAAGAATTAAATTTATTTTTTATTAAAGTAAAAGACACGAAAGCTCTTAACTCAGCGACTTTGGATGGAGGTGAGAGCAGTAGCAACAGGTTACAGGGATCGGGAAATCATTCCAGATTACCCCAAACAATCTAAACCCACCCTTTTCATTTCGACAAAGTTTTAAATAGAAAGAAAAGATTGACGTTGGGGAGAAATGGAGGTGAATCGTGATGGAGGAAGAAAGCAGATGATTAGTTTTTTGTTCTCTGGTTCGTCTTTGAGAAAAAAGAAGAATGAGGAGAGGAGAAGCCGATTGATGAAAATGAACAGGCGGCTAGGGTTCTTTATCTCTAGGTTTAAGCAACAGTTCTTGTTTTGTTTATTGTTTCGTCATTTATTATTTTATAGTAAGCTTAATTCACAAAATTAACATAAGATTTTTTGTTTGACCTAGTTACGATCACTTCTAACTATTTGAAAAATATTAAAAACTTTGTCGTTTGGGCTTCATTTTACATGCACATATTTATTTTACTTAGAGATTTTCCTAATATGAAATCGTAGTCGATAAATCGTGATAATCATTCTTGATGAAATTCTTACAAAGATAACCTATAATTCAATCACTAAATTGAAATATCATAAATATACTTCATAACAACTCAAATTATCATTTGGACCACGATTAATAGAACGTTTTGAGATCACTTTTTTAAATTGATCCCGACTACTCGGATACATAGGCAACCAATAGGTTCGGGTCCAACTAACCAAACATCCTTTCTTTACGTTCGAGATTTACGTCAATAGACGTATGATCGAATTGTAATAACAAATACCTAATTAATTGAATCACATTATAAATACTTAAATAAGCCAAATAATAATAATACACCCAACCCTTTAAAACTTATCGATTTAAGTAGTACCAACTTCAGGGCATTGTGGGGTGTGAATGCGCACTTCCCCACACGTAACCATACTCCAGAACCCAGAATTCTTAAATTTTGCATACCAAATGCCGGTTTTGACCCTAAGGTTGAATCCGGGCAAATTAGTGTTCGACCCACTACAACTAAGGTCATGGCGACTCCGAACATCACGCGATGGGTTCCCCAATCTCGAGGGGCAGCTGCGACAGTGGCAAGTATATAGCTCTCTAGTACCCCCCCCCCCCCTAAAAAATGAAAGAAGAAGAAAAGAAGTCAAAAAAGAGGTAATAAAACGGGGTAAATACCGCTCTAGAAAGGGTTTCTTGGTACTCAAGTCGTTGAAACACCTAAATTGTTTGTTAACCTCCTTCACTACTATAATTGAGATGTGGATAGCAAGAATAGACTGAGGAAGTGTGCTTGAATGTAGTTCGTGGTTGGTAGTGGTTTGGAAGAAGGGAAGAGTGGTTTTTGGCCGTTACTAGTGGCTAGGGATGGCAATTTTGACCTGACCCGTTTTACCTGACCTGTTTGGCCTGTTTTGGGCGTGTCCGACCTGCTTATTAGGCGGGGCAGGCATAGGTACTCTCATTGACTCGACCTGCCCTGACCCGCCCCATTCTCGACCCGTTCTTGCCGAAATTACATGTAATGTTAGTTAAATTACTTAGGATTTTCCATTTATCACATGATAATTTAGCTATAATAAAGTTGTAAATTAGTGAAAATCTCATTTTCTCTAATAGTTTAACTACATTTATCATAATATTATTTGTTTTCTTGGTCTTATAATAAAAATAACGAATATTTCTAATGTTTTTCATATAAATTGCATACCTATTGGGTACGCCTGCCCCGACCTGTGACATGTGATAAATTACCCGACCTGCCACGAGGTGGGTCTGGGTACCAAGAAACTCGCCCCGGACCTGCCCCCTTGCCATTCCTACTAGTGGCCTTTGTTTGCAGGAAAGGTTCTAGTCGAAACCTTTGAAACTTTTGTTTTAGGTTGAAGATGTAGAACCTCATGCTTTGCTTGCCACCATCCAAAAGGCATTTTCCCCATGTCCAAGACACTTGCCAGTCATTTGAACTAGTGTCTAGGACCTCCAGACAAGCTAGTGACGACACCCACTTTGTCACGCTTAGAAGTTGCCGCCGTGGTGAAGAGACGATAGGGTTGAGTATTGATGATTGTACACATATTTTTCACCAAAAGGTCCTGACCCCACTAGTCGATAGTGAGTGATTCATTCACATTATGCATGTTCATATCTTATCCCGGTGAGGACCTTTGTCGCCCTTTCATCTGTTCCATGGACTTAAGAGTTCTATGCATGGTTAGTTGTGGTTGATGAGTAGTCCGGTCGAGACTTGTTTTGATTTGTGAACATGGTGAGAACTTTTCGTTTGCACGTTCTTAATGCATTCGAAAATCATTTGTGGTGGATGTCG